ACAAAAACTGCGGGGAACTCTGCAAAAAACGCATCTTCGCACGGGCTGCCCGTGCGTTGGCCAATTTTTTTTTAACTCTTAAACTGAAATGCGGAATCTGAGCTGTATTACCTCGTAAAGGACCAGAACTCGTAGTACATAATTTTTTTTGAATTCATTCATTTGCAGGACGTCCGATAGCCAACTGCCGTTCTTCAGTCAAATGTTCCTGCTCATTGCCATTACTGCATCGATTGGCAGCGTCCTATTATACATTGTAGTATACGCTATGACTCGAAAAAGTGTCCGTCGTGCTCGAAAAACTCAAATGGTTAGTAAAATTCGCGAGTATTCATGTAAAAATTGAAATAGAAAGACGAAATAATCACAAATATAACGAAACTGCTGGAATGCTCAGGCAATACTGGAATACAACCAGTTGACAAGTGTAGGCGTATCAGATATGCTTAGTTAGATAATCCGAACAGCTGCGCTTCATAATTTGATTGCCCAATTATACAGCTGCGGCCTTTTCCAATTACATTGACCAGTGTTGCATCACCAGGTAGTCAGTGTGCTGGCATTTCTGACTCAATTGTCGTTTCCTGACAAAATCATTTAGTAAGGTATTTTATTACTACTGTGCCCTTACTTTTAGAAAGCTACTTATCAAGCTGCCTTAAGCAACAAATTATTCGTCGTCAAATAACCGTGCACCTACTAATATTTTGCACGATTATCTTGAGCAGGATGACTTCAATTAACAAGACGAAACGAGACCAAGGCAGTAAAGCAACTTTTTGGCTTTTGGAACTTTCCTACTGCTTGTTCTAATTCATGCGATCCACCAACATTCGCGTATTCTCTTCTAAACAGATTTTCCTGGATGTCCAATTTTAGGGGTCAAAAGCAGCTGATGCATTTGAGCGTCGACAACGTAAACTTACCAGAACAATGAATATTTCATGTGTGATAACACTGATTTTCTACGTAACACCAATGTGTGTACGATTTTTCATTGGTGGCACAATTGATACGACAGTGAACGACTTCGTGACAGTGTATTCGGGAATTAGTTGCAGTTTTAATCCACTAGCGATCCTTGCGGCTTTGTTCATTATGCAGGAAGATGTGAAAAGAGCTGTTCTGAGCAGTTTACCGCACTGCTTATGTCGGCTCGTCCCAAGTGCCGCACCGGAAAAAACGTTTGGTGGCAATCTCTCGATAGCAGTTAATCCCACAGCCCAACAAGAAAACACTACGACCACAGTTTTTTGGCGTAGGCTACAGTGGAGTGCCAAAACCATATCGGCCCCACAACCTGAAACGCATGTGTCTACACGAAAGCGCCGATCATTTCCATCGATTTGGCAGCGCCAAACTACGAAGTGATAGACAGTGATAACCAGTCTCTTTTGCTGGCCTATCTTCTTTTTTCATCACTTCTCTCCTTTCTCCGCTTTTCATGCTTTCCTGATCTGGTCTTGAGAATTTTACTGCATACTCTTTCAATATATGACGGACAGGTGGCTAAACTGATGATTACCGCTCCATACCAACACATATGGAACAATCTGTGCTTACGATCAAGAGCTGAAACAGAAACTGTTCTGTGACAATCGGTGCTTAGATCCAACATCATGGTATAGGGATAAAAAAAATGCGATCAAATCGCATTCCATTAACAATAGTAGCATGAAATATCCGCACCGACTACACTGACGCTCTCGATATCCTTGATAATTACATTCCTAGACAAATCCCCTCATTTCTTTCTCTTCTACTGCTCTGCCAGGCGATATCAATATCAAAACGCTTTTCTTGTAAAACTATTCCAATTTTGTGCAAATATATAAAGTTTTTGTATTTTGTAGTTAGCAACAGCGTAGCTAACAAAGTTTTTCTACAAACAGCTGAGAGAAGAGCATCGAGAAATCGCGACGTACACTGCGAGAAATGCGGATGAAAAAAACCCCGGACAAAGCGCGCTTACAAGAATTGAAGAGCTTATAAACTCGGAACAACGGAATGAGACATTTTGTGATAAAACATGAAGACAAAAAAAGAGAACTGGTTGCCAGGTCAACACTATAATGTCTGAACCAAAAAACACAGGAATAAATTCGACTAGATCATACAAAAAGCAAGACTGACGACATTAGAAGTTTGAAATTTCATGATATTCTTTTTTACCATTCGCATTGAAATAGAAAAGAAAGAAAACTAGAAAAAAAAAACCGCGGGAATCCCACCAAGTCTCTTCTTTAAGCCGTGCACACAGGAAGAGCATTAAGATGAGATAAAGGCAGAGTTCATTCCTTTGTGCAGCAAAAGTGAATGAAGAGAAGCCAATGAAAAAAAAAAGAACCCAGGCCGGCACCGGGCGGGCCCGTACGATCATATGTTTTTGCGCCAGACTTCAACTACCCAGGTCATCAAATGCATGAATGGTTGTTACTTTACACCTACCTTTTGCGTCACTAGCACAAATTACCACAAATTTTGCACGAAGTAAACGTACAATTTTCATTTAAAGATCGTTCTTTAAAAGTAGCCTAGCTGTTCAGTGAGAAATTATTCCGCCAAAACTTTAAGCGCCCGTAAATAGGAACCACGCAATCTCAAGGCTGAATTTGAAATACTTAAGTTATATCTGGACAGGGGACATCCCCCTAAAATTTCTGCTTTCTAACTTTCCTGCTTCGTGAGTTAGTATTTCACCGCTAAAACTGTCATATGCCCGAACGTGGGTACATCACATGCTTGAGAAGTTGAGTTCGAAATTTTTAAATTGCACTTTGACAGGGGAGATTACCTTAAAATTTCAGCCTTCCAGCTTTTCGGGTTACTGAGTTAGCAATTTTCCCGCTGAAAATGTCATACGCCCTTATATGGGTACGACGCGTACCTAGGGGCTGAATTTGAAATCTTTAGCTAATGCGTTCAGAGGGAACATCCCTACAAATTTTCAGCCCCTTAGCTCATGTGATTCCCGAGATCGCTTTCCCGCCAAAAATTTGCATATTTTTTAAAGAGTCCGTACAGTAAATTTTGAGACTGCCGTGGCAGCGTTGCTCGACGAACGGAACTAAGAGCGACTGACGACGACGGAGGCGACGACCGATTATCGCGGGCCTCGATGACTGAACCTTGATACTTTCGCAGCGAAACGAAATAGCGTGTAACACTCCTTTTTATACTCACCTCAAATTTGGGTTATTAAACCTATAGGATACAATCAATGTAACAATATACAGTAATATAGGTGCAACAATATACAACAATAAAATAGCGACAGCATTAAAGCAGCTATGCACAATATCTAGATCATATATACCTAACAGTCGACAACAATCCTGTAATGTTCCCACATCCTAGTTCCTTAGTCAGTCTCAGTCAACTCTATTTGAAATACTTCAATAATAACTGGTACCCTACGGAGCATCTTCCCACCCACGTGTGCCTACCGATACCTCGTTTCACCTATGGCACGACCTAACTCCTACAACTAGCTCCTAACTAACCGCTTACCCCAAAAGGGGGGGGGGGCGAAGCTCATCAAAGATAAAAATAAAGTAAAGGGGGAAGGGGTTTATTAAGTAAAATAAAATAAATTAAAAAGAAAGGGGGGCAAGGGATGAGAGAGCTGAGGGCAGGGGAGCCACGGAAACTCACCCCGCCACTCAACTCGAGTGAAGCGG